ATTAAGAAAGAATAAACTATTTTTATTTAAGAAAGGACTTATATCGCTAAAGTTTCATCCGAAAGAAATTATACGGGAAATTACCAAACGTCCAGAGACGTAACAATATATAGTATTAACACGACCTGTAGTGATGGTATGATGCTGACAGAAACACAGTACAGCATATAATGTTTTACTAGCATTGCAAGTGTTCGTATACAGTGTTAACTTTATCTGTAATAACGTTATGGTGTTGACACAAACACAAGACAACACATAGTGTTTTACTAGTATTGCAAGTGTTCGTATATAGTGTTAACACGATCTGTAATAACGTTATGGTGTTGACACAAACACAATACAGCTTATAGTGTTTAGCTAGTATTGCAAGTGTTCGTATACAGTGTTAACATTATCTGTAATAACGTTATGGTATTGACACAAACACAAGACAACACATAGTGTTTTACTAGTATTGCAAGTGTTCGTATATAGTGTTAACACGACCTGTAATAACGTTATGGTGTTGACACAAACACAAGACAACATATAGTGTTTTACTAGTATTGCAAGTGTTCGTATAAAGTGTTAACATGATCTGTAGTGATGGTATGATGTTGACAGAAACACAGTACAACATATAATGTTTTACTAGTGTTGCAATTGTTCGTTTACAGTATTAGAAAATCTGTAGTAACACAAAATAACCTTCGCTAGAGCTGACTTATCTATCGCAACTAGTCTGAAGTTTTCACTATTACAGACACCTTTGCTAAAAGTATCTTCTCTGTAGCCGCTAGTCTGACACCTTCACTAAACGTATCTTCTCTGTAGCCGCTAGCCTGACACCTTCGCTAAAAGTATCTTCTCTGTAGCCGCTAGTCTGACACGATCACTAAACGTATCTTCTCTGTAGCCGCTAGTCTGACACCTTCACTAAACGTATCTTCTCTGTAGCCGCTAGCCTGACACCTTCGCTAAACGTATCTTCTCTGTAGCCGCTAGCCTGACACCTTCGTTAAAAGTATCTTCTCTGTAGCCGCTGGTCTAACGTCTCTTTTATCTGTACCTGCAACTGTTTTGTAATTAGTTTCGAATGTTAATCTGAAAGAATGTAAACTATTTTGGCATCCTTGTTCTGTAGTTTCTCCTCAAGTTCACCCGACATCAGACTCTTTCCCATAATTCATCTTAGTCTAGCCACCTGAGACATCACTACATTTTTTTTTTTTTTACTTCTTCATGTTGTTCCCCTTGATGGTTACTTTGGATATAACGTACTTACATCAAGGGAGGAAATGAAGACTAGCTAGTAGCAGTAAACATTGATGTTGGAGTTTAGAAAATATAGACTGCCCCCAGTAAACATTGATATTGGAGTTTAGAAAATAAAGACTGGCCAGTAAACATTGATGTTGGAGTTTAGAATCTTTAGGTTTTATAATGCGCTGTACTAATGTTATGACGTCATACTCACCAAAACACACAGGGCTTCTCCCACTCCAGCTTCCATCTTCTTGGCACACTCTGGTGGCATTACCATGCAACATGTAGCCATCTACACAAGAGTAGATCGCGCGACTTCCCTGACCTGGTCGCTGTCGTGGAAAGTCCGTCATTTTAACTTTACCATTTTGTAGCAAGGTCAGTGTTGGACAAGTTACGTCTGTAACGAGGTTTATAATTTATGTAGCATGCAGTAACAATTATATAAGATATTTTATGAATTAGATTTTTAACAAGTAGAGCTAACTATCAGTTTTATATCTTTCTACAAGAATAACAAGTAAGATGGATTTTCTTATCGTAAAATGAGGGTTCTAGTAAATACATAAGCAACACTAGTGAAAGCTAAGCCTAAACAAACGCAAATCTGGCTTATAACAAAATTCGTCATGAGTCGCTTTGCTGTTGCTAACAAGGACTTGTATTTCTGATGGTCTTACCTTTCATTACGTATACCTCCACCTCGCATATACCAAAGTAACGGTATTTTGGTCTGTTGTCTTTGATGTGAATATACCGACCAGAAATTCCTCGATCCCCCTCACAAACAAGAATTCTCCTTCTCGAAGCTGAAACAAAACAATACAAAAATGCGAACAATAGAGAAATAAATATTTTCTTTAGAATATCTTGAACAGCGTTTCTTCAAACCGATTAATAGTTAACACTAAATAACAGTTCTCTCAAAAAAGTAACAAACTAAACAACCCTTACTGCTGTTTTTAAAAACAGAACCACCTCAGAATCCTTCGAATATTGTTGTTGGAGACGTTCATAGCAGGGCTGCTAAGGTCAGTTGGAGGTCTTCACCACCCACTGCCAACTCTTGGGCTACTCTTTTACCAACGAATAGTGGGATTGACCGTCACATTATAACGCCCCCACAGCTGAAAGGACGAACATGTTTGATGTGACGGGGATTCGAACCCGCGACCCTCAGATTGCGAGTCGAGCGCCCTAACCACCTGGCCATGCCGGGGCCTTGGAACCTTCGATAATACTAACAGTAGAAGACATTGTAATACTTTATCCTAAATCTAGTACAGGAATAATTATTCGTTGGTTGGTACAGATTGTTTTAGGAAATGGGTTGAATTATATCCTCGAAGGTTATCTGTGAAAAACTAACTTAATGAATACTTGTGTTGATATGATATTCCTAAGACTCTTGTATCTGATAATGGCCCACAATTTGTGTCTCATTTGATGGATGAAACGTGTAAAGCTATGGGAAGTAAACACATGTCTACAACTCTATATATCATCGTCAGTCTAACATTACTGAAGGAGTAAATAGAAATATTGGTAGAATGATATCTGCTTACATTGAAAAAAAAATCAAACTTGGGATAATTATTTATCTAAATTTTCTCTAGCCATTAAAACTTCTATTCATTAGTCTAGTCTACAGATTGTACTCTGTCTAAGCTCCATTAGTGGCGAGAGATCTTCCTTCCTTGGCACCTATTGACGAAATACTCAACAGCATCTCAAACCTTAGATGAACTAACAGCAGAATGTCGTATACTGATACAAAAGGCAAGATCCAACCCTAAAGGCTCGACAGCGACAAGCCTACAACCGTAACAGACGCCCAGACACATCTAAAGCGGGTGATTTAGTATTATTAAGGTCGCATTCTTTATCTTCTGCAGTAAAATTATTGAAAAAGTTGCTCCGAGGTGGAATGGGCCTTTCCAAGTGTATGTATATACACTCAATTAGTGTACGACTTAAAGAATCAGATGAAGTTTGTTTCTTTCGTCTTTTTTTCCGATTCCTTTATTTATTGAAATACTTATTAGCAAAATAGCTTCAAAGCTATTACCATATTAATAACATTATTTATTGATAGGCGATCAAAATCAGCACAATAATGAACTTGATACAAGTTAAGCCTACAAAACAAAAATGAACTTGACATAAGTTAAGCCTATAAAACAATAATGAACTTGATATAAGTTAAGCCTATATATATTCGGTCGTCAAGAAATTGATGTCGCTTTTTTTTAGATGGAAAAACAACTAATATATCAAAACAAAACATTTATCAAATGA